ACAGATTCATAGATGTAGAGTCAGAAGGGACCTTGTAGATCTTCTAGTCCAACCCCCTGCTCTGGGCAGGAGAGAAAACTGGGCTCAAGTGACCCCAGCCAGGTAAATGTCAAGCCTCCTCTTAAAAGACCCCCAGGGTAGGAGCCATCACCACTTCCCTTGGAAGTTGGTTTCAGATCCTAGCCACCCTGACTGTGATGTAGTGCCTTCTAATGTCTAGTCTGAACCTACTCTCTAGCAACTTATGGCCATTATTCCTTGTTACTCTGGGAGGTGCTTGGGGGAACAAGGTTTCTCCCAAACCCTGCTGGTCCCCCCTAGTAAGTTTATAGATGGCCACCAGGTCCCCCCTCAGCCTTCTCTTATGAAGGCTGAACAGGTTAATGTCTCATAACCTCTCATAGGGTTCACCCTGCTGTCCTCAGATCATGCGAGTGGCCCTCCTTTGGACCCTCAATACTGTCCACATCCCTCCTGAAGTGTGACGCCCAGAACTGGACGCAGTACTCCAGCTGCAGCCCAACCAGTGTCGCATAGAGGGGGAGGATCACCTCCTTGGCTCCGCTTGTGATGCATGACAAGGTACAGTTAGCCCTACTGACCATGTTCTTGCATTGTCGACCCATGTTCATCTTGGAGTTAATGACTCCAAGATCTTTCTGCCACTGTGCTTTTGAGAAGGGATTTCCTAGCCTATAGGTATGCTGCTGGTTCCTACTGCCCAAGTGCAGCACCCTGCACTTGTCAGTAACGAATCCCATCCTACTGTCATTTGCTCACCCATGTAACCTGTCCAGGTCCTTTAAGTGGGTGGGGATATTAGTACTTAGCAGATTTTTAGATAGACAATAAGCTCCCATTTAGTCTTTTAGCTTAGAGCAGTAGTGCTTCATTTTTTGCCCTGGCAAGCCAGATAGGTAGTATCCAGTCTGTCCACAGGCTAGATCTGGCCTGTGATCCCAATCTTGTGGCTGGAGCAGGTACAGTCTGGCCCCATCCAGCCACAGGGAAAAGGGTCAGGCTGCAGCCAGGACCTGTATGGGGAAGGGGGCTTGGCCCAGCTCAGATGTCTCTCAAAGGGTTTGGGAAGTCTGGTAGTGGGGAAGGGTGGCAGTATTAGTTGTCAGGGCTCCCCCTGCCCGCCACCAAGTTTTCCTGACCTGTGGGGAAGCTTTCAGGACAGATACCATAGCTTTGTAGGCAAGAGGTTTAAGCCCCCTTGCTTAAAGTGTTTAGACTCAGAAATTAAAGCATCTTTCTGCCTCACATTTGTTGTTGGCTCACAAGATAAGAGCACGGTGCTTAAACCATATTTTATTGGTCCCTAAATAATGTAATACTAGACCACCTTTGTCTTTGCCCAAATCAGATTTATGGCAGAATTCTCATTAACCTGACTGAAACCAAATTCCACATTGTATATCTGTTTGTCTAGCTTCCACACTGTACTTCCAACTTCTTTCCCCTCCCTTACTGTCAGACCCTGCTCTTCCTGACCACATGAAAGTGAGGGGTAAATCTGAAGAGAGTGACTTTGAAATAAATATTCCTGTAGTTTGAAATGGGCACAGACAAGTTACTCTGAGTACTCACAGTTCATCTAGAATTGAGGCATTTTATCTCTTTTGAAACTGCTGCAAGTTGGTACAAATTTGTCACGACCACACTTAAGCAGCACTTTTTTGTACCTACATATATAATACTAATTATGCATGATATTAGTCCAAAGCCAAAAAGCTCACGATTCATCAGGCAGATGATTGGGCTGGAACATGACAGTTCACATCATTTCAAGCCATAGTAACACCACAGCTCAGCACTTCAGTATGCACATACCCTAGGATACTCCCCCAAAATGAACCGTGCGCTAATTATCTCCCCATTCATGACAAGAACACCTGGTTCCAGTCACAAGACCTGTGATCCTCCAACAGTATGTGCAGATGAGGTACAGGCCAACCCAGTCCAGTTTTACCTCATGGAGGGTGGGGACACTAATCATATGCACTACGCAGAGAGGAGACACCAAGGATACTGGGCGAATTGTTTGGGGCCCCCTCTGGTGATGTTTGCCAGACATTTAAGGCTGGTGAAGAAACAGGAATCACTGGAAGTGGGAAAGAAAAGGTGCAGCTTAACTGTGGGAGTGAAAAGGAAATCAAAGTGTGTGCAATGTAGTGGCTCGCTATGACTTGAAGAGTCAGTGCCAAGGGGGACTGCATGCAATGGGTACTATCACACCTTATTCAGATGGGCTGCACTAACTTATTTGTGGTAGGTTCCCCATCAGCATGTTTACCCCATATAGGCCCTGTGTTTTATAGTCACAATCTGTGTTGGCTGCATTTAAATCAACTTCACAGTTGGTTTCCACTGCTGAGCACATGCTGTTTTTGGTTGGAGTTTAATGACCAACAGTGTAGTTAATTAGGTTTCTTTGTATGTAGATACAAGACAACTAAGCATTTCTCCCCTCCTCCCATAGTGATTAGGGGAACCTCCTCTTATACTTGAGAAAATATGGTAGCTCATCTATTAAAAAGGTGTTTTGTAAACACCTGAAGTACAGTTTTACTGTGAAAAGACTGCAGAGTTACAGCTGCTTGCTCCTGCTTTTATTCAAGCAAGCTTGTTCAACTTAAAAAAACAGTAAAAAAAAGCTTAGACTACTAGCGCTTGCTGGGTATAAAAACCAAGTCATGTTCTTCACAAAATTACAAGAGCTGGAGCTTTTAATTGCAGTCATGTGTATAATTAACAGCATGAAGATTCAGATTTATTTGCTCATTTTACTCCATTCAAGGGCACAATGGATAAATTACTACGAAGAAGTAAAAAAAGATTTTCCATTAGCTATTCAATACACCCATGGAAAGAAGTCAGCTGATTAGCAGATCAGTTTGACACTCCCTCTGCAAACTGAAGTGACACTAAAAATATAGCCATATACAAGCAGTTCTCCTTACCTGTTGGCAAAGATTCTTGTGAAACTGAATTTTGCTCTGCAGTGTGAGTAGACTGTAACTGGCATTGAGGAGGAGTTTGTGTACTTGCTGTAGAAAAACTCTGGTTATAACCTGCAGAGTAGGAAGAGTCTTCTTTTATTTCCTGCTCTTTACGTGGAGGCAGAGGTGCATTCACTTTAAATACCTGGAAAAAATGCAACATGTTAGCAAAATATTGAAGAGACTATTGTTTACTTGGATTACAGAAAGACTCCAGCTAGGTGCATTAGGGTTCTACTGTGCCAGGCCCGGTGTCAAAAGCTAGCACAGGGAGCATCTAAAATGCACAGATTAGGAGAGAAGAACAAGTACTCTTAGATTTACAGAGTGGATACTGACTTCTGACTGAAGTCACTTAGCACAACCTGGAATTTACCTCAGATTTCTGGACTCCTGGTCCATGGGAGCATCTTCCCTCTTCCATCCTACTTTAAAAAACAGACTATTCCCAGAAATACTTGACCAAAGTGTTCTGTATACTTAAATTCTGGCCAATAAAAGCACAGCACAACTTCAGGTAATAGCCTGACTACTGGGATCCCAGCAGCATCCTGGATTAAAGAATTTACTTGGGAGTCCTGAACACATGAATCTTTTAGGCCTTTACTACCACAAGCATGTTCTAACCAGAGCAGCCACTTCTAGAAAAGCACAGCATAAGTGGGTAGTACTTCCAGGATTACTACTAACACATGCTGAGGCTTGGTGCTATTGCTGTTAAAGCCCCTTTCAACAGTTTTTAGTATTATGCTAAAAAAATGCCACAGGTGCTGCATTCAGCAAGTCAAGCTGCTCAACTGGTTACACCAAACTAAGAAAATACCTTCAATTCTACCCTCTGACTAGCTGCCTGCCAGGTATGTATTCACAATATTAAGTGTTGGAAACTATTTGGTTTGCCAAAAGGAAAACCAATGCGCTTTGTGTATAGAAGGCAAGTCATATACTGCATATAGAAAACAAAACCTTTTGTCATCCATATGAAGTTATCTTTTTTTTGGTATCAAAGCACGCAGGCCAATTTCAGGATGGGAAAGGCTGAAAGCAAGAACAAAAAAAGTCACAATGCAAGTGAGCTGTACAACAATTCTGAGAAGAACCAGTCAAGGACATTCTACTATAGAAAACTGGAGGCAAAAAAGCTTGGGTAGAAGTACCCGACTGTGTAAAACCTAGGCCCAGATCACTGATCCATGGTTAGCATTTGATACTTGACTTCAAACTTCAGAATGTGCGCTCAAGCTAGTTTTCAGTTCACCATGACCATTTCAGGGCAATTCTGGCATCTCTGACAACTTAACAGAATACTAGTAGAATTCTTGTATCAAGGATTGTAGTCCTAATTTTTCTGCACTTCTCTCCTGTATTAATTACTCATCATCTATTTGAATACAAAGAACTATCATATCTATATTACACAGCCAGTAAGTGGTCCTTCCAAATTTTTCTGCTTATAGTACAAGAAGTTGCCATCCTGCTGTTTAACCTTCTAAAAGCAGGCATCAGATTTGGGAGTCTCTACCAAACGATAGTGTTTTGCAAGTGTGATCGCACTTACTCACATAATTCAGAAAGTTTGAGCATACCCCAATCAGGGAGGAAGGCCAGAATCTCTTCTACCCTTTGGACTGGCCCCTTCAGCAATCTAACCATAAAGAAAAAAAAAGTGCTTTGTACAGAAGGGCAATGTGTAAGTATTGTTGCTAGACAGACCATGACAGAACCAAGTGAAAGTTCAAGTTTTCAAGAGTGGTATAACCCAATAATGTTGAAACTAGTACTACAAGGGAAAAACTGCCAATCAAAAAGCTACACAAATAAAAAGCCTCTTCCACTTTGTTTTAAATTTATTTGAGGCTTTCCTGATTTGGAGCAGAAGGTTTTGAATTTTAGATTAAGATGTTTCAAAGGACTGACAGCTCCCAGGCTGCTAGAGGCAATGATGAAATAAAGTTTGGGTGTAGGATCTAGCCAGTTTGGAAGACAGGCAAGCAGCGACAGAACTATTAAAACTCAGTAAGATTGAAATACCTGAAGTACCTGACCCATCCCAGGACTACCATGACTAAGCATTTTATCAAGTTTCCTCAGAACTTAGAGGATTAAAGATAAACAGTTATTAGTCCTCGTCTCAAAGGATAAGACAAGACATCTACTGGAGGGAAGCAGTTTGTATTTGTTCCATTACTCTACTTTTAAAATATACTGCAAACACCAGGCCCTTCACTGAACACCTGCTTACAGACTAAGACCCACAGGCAGCATGCAGAGCTGAAAGCTATGGCACCATGGGCTGAATCCCACCAGCAGGCCATACTTCTGACACCATTAATATGAAATCCTGACTTGAAAAGTAGTAAAGAGATGGTTACCAAAGGATGAAGAAAGTGACTCTTAAGCAGCTGTCAGGATTAAAACTGGACTCAAATACAATACTAAGGCCAAATACAATACTACAATTTTATTGTATTAAGTGGCTCCAAAGACCTGAGGTTGACAGTAATATAAAACAAGCAAGGAAACAATGCAAAGGAAGACTTCTCTTGGGAGTGCTCTTGTCAGATGAAGACAACAGATACCTTAGCATTCTTCAGTGAAGAAAGGACCTCACCCATTGTAGAATTAGAGTTCACCACCCTCAACAATAAAAGGCCCCAGTTGTGGCCTGGACCTCCCAAGACTAGGGCCAGCAAGCTTCAAGTCACAAAGGTAGCCTTGTATGCAACACTGTCAGACAACTTCGAGCTGATGGGATGTTTAGAGAGACCCCTGTGGAAGTGGTAAGAAGAAAAATCGAAGACCTGATCAAGCCTATAGCTGAATCAAAGCAGCCATTAGTGAAAGGTGTTTGAGAAATGTCACTTCATTGGCAAGAGGAACAAGTCCCCTGCCCTTATACAAACATTCCTCCTTAAATCACTTGTCTTTCACAGTTTAGAAGTGCCTCAAAAGACTTGTCTAGGCTAGTCTATATTACTTTTGCAAAAAAGAGATCCTAACCTAGAATGAACAGAAAATGCAGGCCTGCAATAACTTGGTTGCACACCCCAAAGCAGCTGAGCTGAAGCTGATAAGGAAGCTGTATCATGGGGTACTGGACTACATCCAAGAAAGGGTTTCTTAAGGTGAGTAGTCAGACATGATGAAGAAAAGTTTTGCATTTGAAAGTTTAACTATCCCAACTATGCAATTGGTCCAATAAAGATTAAACCCTAAGAAATCCGTGCTTTTTCACAATTTTTTTTTTTTTTTACATATATTTTTTCGTCCTGTCCCTGGGGCAGCAGGATGGGCTCAAAGATCTTCTGAGGTCCCTTCCAGCCCTAATGTCTATGAAATCTATGAACCCCAGGTAGTTCCTTGCTAGTTAAGTTCTCTCAAGGCTCCCTCCACAGGGTACCACAATAGGAATCTGCTAGAAATATCATTTTAGGAGTGCTGCTCTAATTTATCACATCTATTTAGAGAATGCAGAATAGGGTCTCTCTTTCCTCTAGGAAAGATAACTAGAGCATCTATCCTTAACAGCACTGAAGTTTCACAAGAGGGGAAGTTTTGATCTGCAGTAATATGACAGAATCAAGATCTGCCAAACCACTGCAGGTAGTCTAGTTTAGAAGTCTTGCCATTAGACTAAGGACTATTGGGGGGCAGGGATGGGGGGGCTTGAGGGGATGGGGCTGGCCAGAGCAGGGGTT